CAAACGCAATTTGTAGCTGTACGCGTGAGTGACGCGTGACTAACCATTCGCGTGTCACGTCATTTCTCCTTTGGGAGCCGCGCTCTTCCCATTCAGCCTGGTCCCTCCTCCGCCTTCTCCTACCTTCAGCCGCCTCTTCTCCTACCCTCTCCACTCCCTCCCCCCTACCTGGCACGATTACAAATTAATTGAGAGTGAAACGCGAACGCACCGGTAAACGCTTTGAAAACGACGTCGACTAGGGGGCTAGAGGCGCTAATCGTGAATAATGAACGCCGCGCCGCACCGGCCGGCCCGCCGCGGAACCCGCTTAGAACCCGTGCTGCCCAACACACGCGGATTTCCAACGATAATCCTTGCCGGCGCCAAAGAGATTTTCCGAATGTCAAATCGAACGACCAGCCGCCGCGACGCGTCCTCGCGGAATTAATTACGACGGATGTCGGAACACAACGGTGCGCGGTGGCTCGAGCTCTTTTGAGTTATGGCGGGTGCGGTCGTTCGGTTATTTTCCAAGGGGAAATAATTAATATTAGAATTACGAATCTACGTGAAACGTGTGGAAACACGGGAGTTTCGGACGCCACGTTTTTTGGTGTTTGCCGACGGTATTTAGGAGATTTTGGTGAAATCAATTTTGATTTATTTTAATCGTCGATTGGCGATATTAATGTTTTTACTTATATCGATGGTATTAATGTTTTACTTTTAACGATTGAGCATTAATTATATTAATGACATTAATGTTTTACTTTTAATTTTCAACGTTTCCGAGGGAAAAGCACGATTACGTGTATTTAATTTTATCGTTGAAAGTTGTAGAATAAATCGAACGAGCGGCAGAATTTGTCAATTAGTATTCTCGCGAGGGATTGTACGACGATATAATTAAAAGTGGACAACATTTAAAATTGAAGAAAAAGTAGATCTATCAAGAAAAAATTCGCACCTGTAATCGTTATCTAATGTTACTTCTTCTAATTTCTTGAAACTGGACTCTGAAGTAGAAAATTCACGTAGAAACTAGACACTTCGAAGTTGTAGAATTGGTCAAGAAAATTGTCGAATTATGCGAATGAAGCACATAAATTTACGTCTAACTATTGCATAAATAGTGTCCACTTTTTTTATTTTAAACTAAACATCGTAACATAAAAATTTCACGTAAATCTAGAAAATAATAGATTGATCAGGGAAATATTCCGTGCACTTAGCATATTTAATTGTAATTTAAAAAAATACGCAAAACTCATCCGTTTTCCTTCTTCTCAGTCTAATCGTTTCAACC